AAATTGTCCATAGTTTGAAGAAGAACACGTCAAAATCTTAGCCAAATAAATATTTAGTGACAACCTCGTGCTAGTTTATCAATGAAACAAGGTGCACTAGTAATTCATACCGAGTTCTAAGAAAACTCGGTTCACAGTGATAATTCTATATGTTTATTAGTAATATTAAGTGACAATTACTTGGATACTCGGATGGCCCGTCCTCATTGGTTGTGCGGGTCCCAGCACATTTTTCATTTCTTCGGAGTTTTGCTTCTTTGGCTAATGTGGTTCCCGAGATCAGCCTAGCCAAAAGTCTCCCCGAGGTCATCACCACCACAGGCAGTTGCGGTCCTTGTGGATCAGAGGGAGATTTGCCACCATGCGAGTTTGTTTGATACCAGGACGGTGGTGGATCCTGGTATTGGTTTGCTCTTAGCTAGGCTTTTTGATGGAAACGCCGGACTCGTTCTCAGCTTGCGAGACTCTGCCAAGGGGATGAATCCACCCGTTGTACATCGCAGTCCGACACCCAGGAACACCTTCCAGCCACGATGAGGCAGTAAACCGTTGGTAGGTAAATGATACCATTCTAAATCAGAAGTGGATCAAAAATGAGCTGCAGCCCGTCATGGTCGATATGATTCATGCCTATGGAATTCATTTTTAATAGTTGTCGCTAGTTTTCAATCAGTTGTTCCATCCTTTGCAATCGTCATGATTGATCACGGCTACCTATGGGATAGGTGAGTATTGAAATCTCAAAATCGCCCAAATTATGCCCTGTAATTATTGGTAAAACGATCGCCAGAGACAAGACGATTTTTGAAGGAACAATGGACAGAATGAATCGCATCTGATTCATGTTTAGAAACACCAACAGTTAGAATAAGTGCTTTCATACACCACCGACTCGAAGACTGGATTTTTTTTTGGGCTCGCAATTCCATCTAGTGTTTGCCTAGCACAGAAGGGCAAAGCGGTTATGTTACAGAAATACTTGGAAGTTTACATGATGTGCACCCACAAACACAGACTTTAGCATGACCCAAAATCACCTATTGTGCAAATTCCAGCACTTCTTTCATCCATCGATTAGTGTCGTCGCATCTATCGTCTGTTTTGGTGTTCGAATTTTTGCGTTGATTAGGTTGCTCTCTGGTATTTTTTGGTTACTTTTGAATGTCTGTGATTTGATTCTCCTCGTAGTCCTTGGATAACCGTGATTGACCGTTCTCACACCTTCAGTACAGGCAGTCGCCACGCCTTGTGGTGTGGGTAACAGAAAGCTTTCCTAGATGGGTTTGGTACTAATTTTTTGGCTCCAGAAAGACGGAAAACATGCTGCGCCATGGGTTAGGTGGATATAGGTGATTGCGTACATTGAACGATATTTCTACTACTGCGGTGTTTGTTCCGAAAAATTCTACAAGCCTAGGTATTTCACTAAATCAGTAAGATTTTTCCGTCCTAAGTTATCTCGCTGGATATTTAGGAAGTTTTCGACTCGTCACTACAGATTATAGCCTGCCTTGATGAATCCAAGGTATCTCGAAAGAAGAATCTGTCGTAACTCCACCATTTTATGGTTAAACTTCAGTTATGATTGCAACGATTTCAGATATGACTTAACTGGACTTCCGTGTTTAAATGTGGCCTTCTCGATACTTGAGGCTGAAGCGTATTTTTGCGTCAGAGTTCCACATATAACGCTGCCTATTTATCTGGTAGTAAAAATTAAGTGAAAACTAGAGATAAGAGCAGCTGCACTCGTCTAAATCATATCATCTGTTGTCAGCCTACCGTTTATATGAACATCAACGAGCGTTTACAAAGTGCATGGTCGAGGCGGTTTTCAACGTTTTTTCTGCAGCGCAATGCACCATCACAACAGCAAACAAAGCCAGAAATCGTAACGAAAATCCAGAATCGTTTGTCAACCTTTCTATCAAACCAGTTTCTTACACAAACTTTCCCCAATTTTTTAGTGGTCTTTTCTAACTGGGACTTTTGGAAATTAGATTTATCTATCATTATTTGTTAAAAAGTAGTGGATCCATTTTAGACCACTTATTATCAGATACCATTAAGTGGCGCAGTAGTCGAAGGCGCTGTGCAACACACAAGTGGAATCGGTCCCCATTCACATGGCCCACCATGCCCTCCATCCCTATGGAGTCCGCAAATTGGTACCAGACTTGTTTGTGAGGGCAGCAGCGCTGGCCGGATACATCGATAGGCTACCTCGACACAACGGTCAAGGCCAGATATTCATTCAGTCACCTCCAAAAGATGCGTAGTGAATTCGAATACATGGCGCATGCCTCAGGGTTGATCAACGTCGAGAGATTTATCCTTTTGTTACCAGATACGAGCGAAAAAAAGAAAAAGAAAGAAGAAAACTGGAAAAATGGTGCTTCTTTTTACATCATTCTTTTGTCAATGCACATGTTGGCCTTCAGTGACTAACACTTTGGCGACTTCGCTTTCATCCCAGCAGTTTTCCTATTGTCTACGTGTTTCAATGATTCTGTGCATCCATAGGACCACAGACAGCAGTTATTAGGTTTTGGTTTCGTGGTACGCTCTGTGTTCAAAAACGTCGAGTCATTGAAACAGAAAACACGTGCTAACAGGCTCTTGTTAAGTCATCGAGGAGAGTTCGGATAAAAGCCGAACAACTTGTTCATTATCCGCAAGTTTTATTGGGAATCCGTCTTTCATGTCAGTCTGTAATATAATGGCCGTGTTGCTATAAACCACTGAAATATTTTAGATATCGCAATTGACGGAAACCATTAAACTATGGATTATGTCCTATTTCTGGGCATCCGTGAAATCGCCGTTCGCTCTTATCGCGTGCCAGAGTTACTCATTTGGTTCCGCTTGCTTGAATGACACGAAAAGAGTCAGAGCTTTAGTAGGAAAACCATTCCTATTGCTTATAGTGAAAACAGAGCCATCTATAACTTACTAACCCTTCGTTGGCACAGGTTTCCTCTTATATAGGCTTCCAGCTTTAAATGGCGAACATCTTCTGATGAGTGTTGCCGTTCGGAGGAGGAACCGTCAGTTCTACGTCACAAACGAAGTGATTGTCCATTGGCCATCGGTGGATTATTAAATGCATTTCTCATCAATCCCAGGCTATGGTAATTCCATAGACTATGCTATCCATAGTTTGATGCGATGTAAAATATAATTAAAGGGAAACCTTCCCATTAGTTTGAGTAATTAAACTTGCTGCGTGCCTAAACCTCTTGAGTCCGTGATATTCAGTAAATTAGCCGTTTCAAATGTGTATTTAAGAACGAAAGTGTTTCTCCGTTGCGATATTTGAGTGCTTCAATGAAACTCTCTTCATCTCCATAGAGGTTCGTCGACCTATAAAGAAAGTGTGGTAATTAGCTCCTTCGAGACCGTTAAGTTTAGTGTGCTAACGATATTTTGCTTCTTTTTTGAGAGGCAATATTGCACATATTCTTAAATAAGTGCGTGTAGAGCAGTAATTAGAGGTGCGTGCAAAACTCAATAAATCAGTATCTGGTTCAGTCCCGCGCTCTTTGCTCACGAAGCGTATCATCACACTGCTCAGGTCTATCCGGTAGGATAACGACAGTGACTTGATGCCTTGGTAGGCACCGTAAGTCATAGTATAGGCCAGGCATGCATTGAATCAACTTCGTGATGTATAACAAGTAAAAAAAAATAAAGCTGACGACGTTGATCAATCCCTGGAGAGTGCGCCATGTATTCGACTTCATTAAGCATCGTTTGGAGGAGGCCTTTACAATGACTGGCCTACCGATCTATCGAGTCACTGCTACTATTCTCCCAGGCAAGTGTGGTAGCAATCTGGCGAAACCGGAGGGATGGAGGGCTTGATGAGCCTGCGGCGCCAAGGTCGATCCCATGCGTATTGCAGCGCGCCTCTCAGCACTGCTCTACACACGCTGATTAGTTGTTAAAATGAACACCCAACACTTCTACTAAAGTCTAGTTAAGTTATCTCTGTGTTATGTATACTTCCCAAGAGGATGAGTTGTCATCGACAAAAGAGCGAAACAGCTAGGGAGTACACTTTTTGACCTTCAACAAAAAATGTACTGCAGCTTGCAAGTGGACAGCTTCAATGTAATCTTAATGAATCCTCCACCCTTGGAGGGTTAAACGAGCAAGCTGTTATCTGCTGGTATATTTATACAAAATATTTGCAATTCACCGCCGCTGAAGGCTGATAGAAGTATTTTTTTTGCGGATATAACAAAATCGCGCTTTCAGAATCCAATACTTTCATATGTTATGCACGCGTGGTGTTCCTTATGAAAAGCTTATGGTCTATATACAGAAGAAGGGCCATAAAATGGCGCCAAGTAACTGACAATTGTACTGCGGATATCTGTTTCAGTCGATTTTCCTATTTAGCCGTGTAAGGTGTATTGCAGTCGGATGAAGACCTTGGGTTTTTACACATGTAAGAGACAATTTAATCACAAACAGCATCGTTTGTGTTTTCGTCTGCGTTCTGTTTCCTACTCTGCAGCAGTTCTGTTGTTCTGTTGTTGAGTTAGGTCATAGGCAGAACTATGTTGAGTAATATTCACTAAGAAGCAGTGTTATCATTTTAGGAAGTTGTAAAAATTGCAGCTTGAAACAGTTTCATGTTTTAATAGGTATTTTTACCATTTATTGGCAAACGCTACTATACTTTACGAATCCTAACAGTTTATAAACTTTTGTGAAGTACAGCGGAAGAGGAGTTTCCTACAGTCTATTAATCTGAGATTCTGAAGCTGTGTTAGTATACCTTACAGATGTAAACAGAAATTCAGTAGACGTCGGCTTTCCATAGCTTTGCGTACAACCATTCTGACCTCTAAGATGACACTTTGATAAATGACGAAATAAATTACTCATGGAAAACCTTATTCGTAACCTCATTTATGTCGATAGCCTATGATGATGTGCCCTGATATGTCATCAGATTTACTAGGTTTGCTGTCAATGTTTTATAAGCGAATTTAAACTGACCTCGTGCACACGATTTGCTTCGGATCCCAGTACAAGATGGTGGGATCGAGGATGTGGTGTTGTTCGGCAGTACCCCTTCGACGACACACGTGTCCTTCGGCGATTGCACGTTTTCCGGGGAATGGTGGTGACGGCTGAGTCAAGGCGCAGCAACCTGTTCCCTCTCCCAGACCAGCACCTCGAAATGCGATATGGCCTCGAGTCTCACCGCCGCCGGATCGCCGTTCCGAAGCCATCAGCGCAGCTGGACGGCGCTCCCATAAATCCAAACGCCACGCGCACATCCTCCAACATGTACGATAATGACAAGTGTCAAAATGAATGAAAACAGCTTAGAATACAAAGTTACAATTTTATATGCTTCTACGTTCGAATGCTTCAAATAAGTTCACAACGTTATGTTATTATAGTTGCGGGTTCTATTTGCACTTCTCAGTTTGTTAACGCAATTTTTATACTTATGGAAGGACTTAACTGCTACAGAGGTACTGCATTCTCTTGCGAAAACCCACAGGTGATTGCGACTCATTTGTTTAGTAATTGATGAGGTAACTAATGTTTGTGTTTCACTTCATAGTTCTTTATGGAAAGTTCTCAACAAAAAGGAATTGCTATGAATCCCGGGATGCTGAAATTTGGCACATTGCTATTTTAGCTGTGAACGCAGTGTTTTTGGTGCAGAATAAGGGCAAGTTCACTTTAATATCGGTTAAAATGCAAGCTAATTTCTGCTAGTTTCAAACTCAACTTCATTCTTCCATGGTCTAATCCATCACAGTTATACTATCTGTCAAACAAAGGAGTAATGCATTGAAATCACCTTTCTGTCAACGAGATGCTACGGTAAAAACAAAATCAAAATTACTGTTACTTAGCTTCAGAATGTAAATTTAGACCTTCATTGAACTCGAAAAAATGGATGCCAGTGTGAGGCGAAGAAAGTCTCCAGAAGTAATTCCCAAAAATGTTCAAAATTTTAGAAAGCGCAATAACCGTAATTAGAACGTCACGACCACTTAGCTGCAATGACGTGAACGTTTAGGAAAAGTCCGATTTTGACGACACGCTTGTGCTAAGCACGACCAAGGAAGGAGTGGAGAACACCCACAACCAAGCATCGCTTGACTAAATTACAGGAAGCGCAACAACTGAGTCGTACCTACTTATCAGAGAGCGATAGGGATATGGACTATCAAAGCAAATTCAGATCCCTAAACATGTAAAGTGTGGAGCTCAGAAATGCTTGATGACGCGTATAATAACCCCATGAGCGCAATGTTGTGACTGGTAGTGGGTACAAAAACGTTTGTTCCTCGGTCACATCCATGTCTTACAAATTATAGAATTATCCTAGCAGGTCTCGTACGTATTTGGCAAAGGTGCTTCCATGACGAATACTTCAATGGCATCATTGGTTTTCCATTGAGCAGATACGTTTTCCCCAACGAGCTTAAACGAAGCAGACATTGAAATACCTCCTCTGGTCAGACCTTTTTTCTTCTCTGCACAGTCTTCTTCTCGTCAAGAACTTTTTCATTCCATTTATTTCTTTTAGAATCTCGGTTTTTCTCTCTAGCTTTCACTTTTTCGTCATCTTTCGTTTTCTTGTGGTGGATTTCGGTGAAGTGATCGCGAGTTTGTAGTTTTTTCTTTTTTTGGAAACCTGTACAGAAAGTTAATAACCAAACCGCTTACGTTGCGCTTCTGTTCTGCGTTGCGTAACTTTTAGCAATATTTTTGCAGCTACGAGTTTTGCAACTGAAGTTCTTTTGAAACTACAACTACATCTGCACCACTTCTTATTTGCCGAAGTTTTTTTTTGGAGACCTTTTCGCTATGAACGAAAAAAAAGTGATAAAACAAAGAAACCAGTCTCAGAATGCAATGTGAAATGTGATAATGACGGTGTGGCCAATGACTAGCAAAACTAAGTGTTATGAGAAAACTAGAGGAATTCCAGCGCTGCGAAAGCTGGCCTCAATCTTGAACAATTGCGAAAATATAAGGTGGCTTACGGTTTACTGGAAGCGAAAGGAAGGTTTTGTAAATGGAAAGAACTGTTTGAGTATGTAGTATCTGTAGCGATCATATGTTCAGTTCAGTGATGACAAATTTTTGATGGAAAAGCTTTGAATCGTATGAAATCGCAAGAAAGTGGGCCTCAATAGTTTTGAATAACTACTTTTTTACAAACCGTTGTTGCGACCACTAGAAATTTCTTACTGCCAAGTCAGCCTTCTAGGCAAAAAGCTCTAGGTTTTCTATAGTTAAGAGTGAACAAGGATTTCCAACAGCCCATTATCCTGAAATCTATTATGTCTTACATTACTTGCAGAGAAGTGGATTTGATTTTTATTCCTCCTTCAACTTCTACAGCAACTCTTATTTCTCTTACGGTTCTAAAAAAGCATAACTAACAGTTCTGAAAGCGAATACAGGTCTTTTTGAAATGGAGAAATTCTATTTGACATCTTCATGTGTGGTCATGAGGAACAGAGAAGCAGATTGATAATGCCGAGCTCATTAGATACTTGGTTCTCTGAATTGTTCATCGGAATCGCATCTTTTGAAACTCGTTGTGCTTTCGACGAAATCGAATACAATTATCGTCATTGATTTCGACATAGTGGCTATTCTGAATGCCAATCTCTGTTGTAATTCGTCGGCGATGCTAGCGGAGCAGGTCCTGGGCGGGCACCAGTTGCCCTATAAAAGTCTTCGGACCTCCCCAGGCGGACGCTGGCCCACACCCATGGACCTCGAGACGAGGGTCAAAGCATATCGCTTTGTGGCCTACTCTGCTGTTACTTTCTCAGTCGTTGCCGTACTCTCAGTATGCGTTACTCTACCGATGGTCTACAACTATGTTCATCATGTGAAGAGAAATATGCACAACGAGATTAACTTTTGCAAGGTGACCAATGTATTTTTACATGAAGCATGCCTTACGGTGTTTTATATTTTTGACATTACCAGTAAGATTAGAGTAAGATTAAGTAAGAGAGTAAGATTAAAGTAAAGCATTATTCACATAGTTAGAAGTTCACCGTGAAATCTAAAAAAGACACTTTTCCTGTTACCCCTTGTAGGGCAAAATAATTATTAAAGTAGGTTCTAAAGCCAAGATCGTAGACCAAACAAAGTTTGTCTGAAAGCTTATGGCTATTTTTCTTCTTGCTTTCTTTGCAATCGTTAATGCTGTCACATTTTAGGGTTCTGCTAAAGATATCTGGACAGAGGTGAACAAACTAAAGAGCATTCCAGCGCCATCCAATCGTACTGTTCGTCAAGCTGGATATGGAGATGCTGCCATAACAGGTGGAGCTCAAGCTGGAGGATCTTGTGATGCATGTTGCCTTCCGGGTCCCCCTGGCCCCCCAGGCACTCCGGGAAAACCTGGACGACCCGGGAAACCTGGTGCTCCAGGCCTTCCTGGTAATCCGGGTCGACCACCACAACAACCATGTGAACCAATTACTCCTCCTCCATGCAAACCATGTCCTCAAGGACCACCAGGACCGCCAGGTCTCCCAGGACTTCCGGGAGATCCAGGAGCTCCAGGACAGCCTGGACTTCCAGGCCAAGATGGCCCACCTGGGGAACCAGGACCCAAAGGACCACCAGGTCCCAACGGTAATCCTGGAGCGCCTGGACTACCGGGAGAACCCGGAATTCCAGCACAGTCGGAGCCGCTTATTCCCGGAGAACCTGGGCCACCAGGAGAGCCAGGTCCGCAGGGACCACCTGGACCACCTGGCCAACCCGGAATTGATGGTGCACCCGGGCAACCGGGTCCTAAAGGCCCCAATGGTCCTGACGGGCAGCCGGGAGCCGATGGAAATCCTGGAGCACCTGGACCTGCTGGACCCCCAGGACAGCCAGGAGAGCGTGGTATTTGCCCGAAATATTGTGCTATTGATGGTGGAGTTTTCTTCGAAGATGGAACACGGCGCTGAAGTTTATAGACATGTGGAATTAATACACTGGTTCACTCACTCCAATAAAGACATTCTGTTCCCTCAATTGCTGTTGTTTGTTTGTCGACAGTTCTGCAGTTTTGATCTTAACACGTCGAACGATATGGGAGATCATTACAGGGAACGTTCTCAGTAACGGTCGAGTGGTTCTCTGGATTACTGAATTCGAAGTAGTAAATGAAGCTGTGAAAAAGAGAAACGTGTTGCGACCTTGAAAGCCCTCTAAAGCGTCGAAAACAAGTTTTCGCCTACTTACTATGTGCTAGTGTTTTTAGAGGCACCAGTTCATTGGTTTATGAGCGATGGAACTGGAAATAAGGATGGAATAATGCACCATAATCTAACCAGACAAACCATGGGAAAAGAGGCCAGCGAAGGAAACTGTCTAGTCGTGATTCGAAAAGACAAAGAATCTTGAAGCGTATCTAGGTCTTCCACAGTAATTCGCTGCACTCATTTGATAAATTTCATTTTTTTCTGTTAGAAGAAAACAGTTAAGCCCTCCTTTATTAGCGAGTCAGGGTTATATGACAATTGTTCAAATGCTATTCCAGTACAAACGCTGTGAAAGCTACCTTTTTGGGTCATCAAGCTAGCCCGAGGTCGACAAGAAAATGATTCGAAAGTTTTTACGTGCAACTGCAATGTGGGCAGAATGTTTATATAAGTTCTAGTTCCTAGCTTAGTTAACATCTTAATGAAATCTGAATAACTCTGATATTCATTCGTCCATCTATTTCCAATGATTAAAGTTTAATGAGAGAGCAGCAGTTGTCGATGCTATATGACTTAGATGGTATAGCTGTTCTTTCGACGTTCTGTGTTCAAGTGTTCCCCTCTGCACCACCTTATCCAGCAGGGCGTGTTCTGTCGCATGGGTTGGAGCGCGTACCAAGCGTTCCTCCGCGTTCCCGTGCGCGTCCGGTTTCCAAGTTGCGCCGTCACTCATCTCAAATTTACGACACACTGATCATAGTGAATTGCTTGTGACCGGAACTCCTCATTCCTACGCACATCCATACATTTATGTTCGCCAAATAATTGCTTCGTGTAAGTAGCTACTCGGCGGAAAAACCCGAGGGTCTGTTCGGCCCACCCACGTTTTCAAGACGGAACTGAACTGTTCTCTACGACGAACATAAGCGTTAGTGGAGATCGGAATTAATATCGCAACATGTTCTGTTTAACAAAATAGAATCATTACGAAGTACTCGGTATAGTTTCGACTTTTTTCGGTAGAAAGGAGGAATTTCAATTTTGAAGTTCTCATTATCTAGAGTTTATGTCATCCGATTAACATGGAACCACAAAACGCTCAAATACAGACGAACAGAAAACAAGCGAGTGGTAAGTAATACTAAGAAAGTGCGGCGTCCTACCTACCTTGGAGATCTGCTGCCAATTCTCTTGAACCCGAAGACATAAAGGTGTTTGTAAATTCATAACGATAATTAAGCCCAGAACCCAATACTTATAGTGGAAGCGCTATCAAATTGGTCTAAAAATAAAAAAGAATTTTGCTCCGAAGCTTCAAAAGGCACATCTGTCACACAGTTCTCATGACTGAAATGGGAATCATTACAACCTGCACATATGTTTCTATTCTTCAAAGGGATTTTAGTAGATGTTTGCTTGCTGAAGATTTACATAGCTGCTAGTTTTTGAGATGAGTGGTACTCGGCTGCTAAGAGGTCTGATGCGTTTGCACGTAGAAGTTCGTAGCGTAATTCATTCAACGCAACTCCTGTAGCGTTACTTTTACGACACGTTGTCGGATCTCGTCGCGCAACGTAACTAGTTGTTGGTTGCAGGCGTTCTAGTTAGCAGGGCACTTCGTCGACTTCCTGACAGCACTTTCGATTGATAGTCTGGCGAGGAATCACGAAGTGGTAGTGAATGTTTCCACGGATTGGCGGAATAAGGCCACCATAATGATCTACGCCTATTCACTTCAGTCACTTTCGTCGATTGTCACCCAGAATCCATTTTTCACTGCAAATCACACTGATGATGAAAAATTGATCTTTTTATTTTTGCGTAGAAAGCGCTCATAGCAAGCATGAGAAAGTTGATGTGTTTGCTTTTCATTCGTTTCATGTAGAATGCATTTGTAAGCGCTTTTCTCGATTACTGGTTTTCTAACGCAGAACTTTTCTGCAACCCTTCTTCAACTCGGGTTGGCATCCCCAAGCTTGAACTCAAAAGGAAAACTAAGCGAACTTCTTCTTGGAAGTATCATTCAAACCAGTCCAAATTCATTGTAAACAAAGACTTAGAAAAAGTATTAAATGGAAGGCTGTTAAGCAAGGAATAGATTTTCAAATGGTATTTGCCTATGAGTCAACCAAGAAACGGTTTCTAGTAAATGTGAAAGCTCTCATAGAAAAATCCCTCCATTGTTTTTGCACGAACCTAACACAATGCGTAACTATAAGCGGCCAGCAGAGCTAACTACTTAAACTCGGTTTATTGTATTGATCGATGATTGAGGATTTTCATTTCATCTTGAATGTAGAAATATGCTGCTCGAGCAATTCTCCCTGGAGTCCTAGGATAACCGAGCTGGAGCGTTCCCAATTGAATTGCAGAGTGATTTTTTCCCCAGACAAGTTCGGTACCGATTTCACGACCCCGGAGGGTGAGAGGTTTGGCTGCCCCGGAACGGAATTGAACTACCACCATGCTCGTGATGACGGACATCACTACCACTGTGCTACCCGCCCCCAAAATAAATAATAAAATTTGCCTATGAGTCAACCAAGAAATGGTTTCTACTAAATGTGAAAGCTCTTATAGCAAAATTTATTAATTATTTTTGCACGACCGTAGCACAATGCCTAAATGCCAGCAGAGCTAACTAGTTAGAAGATGGGTTACTTTTTTTCTTGATATCAATGTATATGTATGAATCAACTATACGAATGACAAGCATGATTTGTTTTTTTAGCTCGGTGTAAGGATCATTGCTGCTTACATTGAATTCCAACATGCATTGAATCTCGGTATCCAGAATCAATCTTTTAGTTTGTTGATGAACTTGCGCGAGGTTGTTACAAATTTTTTGATGGTTAACGTTCCAACGACTTTTTTATTCTTGCTGTGCTCAACTCTACTAGATCTGTCTCGAAGGTACGGCAACAAAGACCAACAGGAAAGGACTGTCAGAACACATCTTCAGGACAACCGAATCATCGCTCCTCTGATAAAGCCGAAACCGCCAATACGTGACTAGATGTGAGAAGGATTTATGCCAACCGCGTGCAAGCTTATGCATAAATCAAAATATTGCCGCTTACATTCCCAAGTTAGTTGTGCAGCCTTACGAACGACGCTTAAAAACTCTTTTACTTAACGCATCTTGTCAGCATTGCTCTCAGTGTATTTTCCTATCATCTCTTTATTTTCGCGGATAGATTTTTTTGTTACAATGTTTTATTCAATCGATAGAAAAATAAAGGATAAAGCTCTCGGCACTGATCAATCGCTGAGGGATCCGCGATGCATTCAACTTTATTAAGCATCGTTTGGAGGTGATCGAATGCATACTTGGCCTTCACAATAACTCGCGGTGTCTTACCGATGTACCAAGCCGGTGCTGCTATCCTCCCGGACAAGTCTGCTACCAATCTTCCGATCCCGGAGGAATGGAACGCTTGGTGGGCCATGGGCGCGGGGATCGGTTGCACGTCTATGTTGCAAGGCGCTTCCTACCAATGCGCCATGCGCGCCCCATTCAGTCGATATTGCCCAAAAAAGGCGCCTTACTATGTGTGGTCCAGAAAAAGTTGTTGTGTAATCAACAAAATGTATTGAAAAACTCCACTGAGGTAAATGTGTTCACTTGATTGAGCACTGTACCCTGACTGTTGCTCGTGAGGAGCGTGCAATAATATCTCTGCTGATGAAATTAAAACTCTCGAGACCGGTGACATCTATAGGTGTCATAATTGTTTTACGGGAGTGGCAGGTGCGACTACTATAGGTTTTATGTTCTTTCCTATGGTTTGTTTTAACACGGAAAACTATTTCCTTACACTTTTTGTTACCAGTGCTCTATACTGCACTTAGAAATCCACAAAGCCCCCATGACCTATTTCCTATGAGCCTCGGCATGGGCCAAATAATCAATTAAGATTTTCATTTTTCTCTTTGTGTTATTGAAGCATTTCGGGTAATAAATTGCATATTCACCGGAATAAAGAATAAAGTAACACCTCGTGTTTTCTCAACGAGAATGCCGAGAATTATAGAAACACTGTTGTCCGAACAGGCTCATTAACTAGAAATTTAGGTGCTAAATGACTATATTTCAATTCTAATTGCTATAATGAATGAAAGTCTCATAGAGTGCGCAGGTATAAAAAATACTGAAACAGAGACCATTGATTTGCAGCACTTCCAAATGCTGACAGAACCGTGTTTGTTCGATAGACCATATTAGCATTTAGTAAATAGCACCATAAATATTATTCATAGCCGTAGAACGATAGAGCACAGTTCTTCGAAATCTTCTAGTTATTGAGGAATTGAAAAGCAGGCAAGTTCATGAAAGGACAAAGGGTAAAGCTTTCGACGTTGATCAATCCTTGAGGGATGTGCCGAGCATTCGACTTCACTAAACATCGTTTGGAGGTGATTGAAGGCATATCTGGTCTCAACAATGACTCGTGGTAGCCCACCTATGTGTTGAGCCAGTGCTGCTATCCTCCCAGATAAGTCTCCTACCAATTTGCCTGCCTCGGAGGAATGAAAGGATTGGTGGGTTATGTGCGCGGAGATCGATTCCACGTGTGTGTTGCAGGGCGCCTCCAACCACTGCACCACACGCGCCCTAGTAAGTCCGTAAAGCCTGAAAATTAGACGTCATCAAATCCAGAACAAACCTGACATTAGGCGTCGTCGCGAGTGTGTTAAAGCCTTTGAGAAGAGCACGAAGACATTCTCTGTTATGAAAAAAAAAACAGCAGGCTGTAAAGAAA